ACAGGATGAGCGTGTGGCAGGCCAGGGTAGTCTTGGGAAATGCAACGTTTAGGCACGAAAACAGAAATGCCTATCCTCACCTAGGTCTGTGGGTACAGGCCCCGGGGTGGAGCCCTAGCCAGGGACCACACCCTTCCCTTCCCAGCACTTCCCTGCCCGCCTTCCGTATCGGTAGCTTGAGGGAGTTACTTCTCAGGGAGATGTTTTGGTTTTTAGGGAGGAGAAGACAAAACCTCCAATTTGAAAAACAAAACAAGTCCTTTGGTGAGGGAAACACTGGACATACAGAGGGTGGGTTGGAAAGGCCAGGTGCTGGGGAGACAGCAAGGAGGAGCCCAGACCCTCCGGAGAGGCAGCCTGGGAAGATGTTTATTTTCTAAGAGAAGAGGAAAGACTGGGAAACAGGGAGAAATTTTTAGGGTGGAGGGTGGGAAACTTGGGAAGCGCAGAACAGATGGCCTTAATCTTCTGAGTGAGAAAGGAGGCAGTGCCAAGCCCGGCTGGGGTGACAGTGGGAATCAGGGCTGAGGGACGGCGGAGACATCTTCTGCTGGCTGCTGAAGGTCTAGGATGGGCACTGAGGTGAGCCTCAGCCGTGCTCCTCGGGCTTGCCTCCCAGGAGGGGCCCTGCAGGAAGTGTTCAGATGCAGAGCCCCGACTCCTCCCCCAGGGACTCGGATTCAGTAGAACCGGGATGGGGTCCAAAATCTATATCATTAGAGCAGTCTCAGAATATACTTGTCATCAGGCAAAGCCTGGAGAAATAGTGAGTGAAAGAACCATTAGCCCCAGGGAGAGCCAACCAGAGGCTGGAAACGGAAATATTGGGGAATCACTTAGTATCCTTTTCACAGAGACACTCTGCTGCCTAGAACCCTGGGGGAGAAAGCTGGTGGAAGGAGGGGTGTGTAGCCACTGGGGTCTACCCAGGAGGGGAAGGTATCTCCAGGAGGGTCGAGTCCATCTAGGAGGGTGAGGTCTAGCTGGGGGGATGGGGTCTACCCAGGAGGGTGAGGTCTAGCTGGGGGGATGGGGTGGTGAGGTCTAGCTGGGGGGATGGGATCTACCCAGGAGGGTGAGGTCTAGCTGGGGGGATGGGGTCTACCCAGAGGGGTGAGGTCTAGCTGGGGGGATGGGGTCTACCCAGGAGGGTGAGGTCTAGCTGGGGGGATGGGGTCTACCCAGGAGGGTGAGGTCTAGCTGGGGGGATGGGGTTTACCCAGGAGGGTGAGGTCTAGCTGGGGGGATGGGATCTACCCAGGAGGGTGAGGTCTAGCTGGGGGGATGGGATCTACCCAGGAGGGTGAGGTCTAGCTGGGGGGATGGGGTCTACCCAGGAGGGTGAGGTCTAGCTGGGGGGATGGGGTCTACCCAGGAGGGTGAGGTCTAGCGGGGGGGATGGGGTCTACCCAGGAGGGTGAGGTCTAGCTGGGGGGATGGGGTTTACCCAGGAGGGTGAGGTCTAGCTGGGGGGATGGGGTCTACCCAAGAGGGTGAGGTCTAGCTGGGGGGAAGGGGTCTACCCAGAGGGGTGAGGTCTAGCTGGGGGGATGGGGTCTACCCAGAAGGGTGAGGTCTAGCTAGGGGGATGGGATCTACCCAGAGGGGTGAGGTCTAGCTGGGGGATGGGGTCTACCCAGAGGGGTGAGGTCTAACTGGGGGGATGGGGTCTATCCAGAAGATGAGGTCTAGCTGGGGAGAAGGGTTTACCCAGGAGGGTGAGTTCTGGTTGGGGAGATGGGTCTACCCAAGAGGGTGAGATCTAGCTGGGGTGATGGGATCTGTTCAGGAGGATAAGATCTAGCTGGGGGGATGGGGTCTACTCAGGAGGATGAGTTCTAGTTGGGGAGATGGGTCTACCCAGAGGGTGAGATCTAGCTGTGGGGAGAGGGTCTGTCCAAGAAGGTAAGGTCTCTCCATAGGGTGCTTTGGGAGGTCTGGAGCTTGGAGTTCCTGTGATCAGAGTCCACATGTGTGACTTGGACCCACACTTGGCAGAGACCAAGGTGAAGACAAGAGAGGACTGATAGACTCTGAGGAAAGGAAGCGTGGTGGGAGCAGGGTCAAAAGCGAGAGGCCAGAGAGTGTGAGGAAGTGGGAGGATCTGAGGAGGTGGGATCCCAGAGTGGGACCTGGGAGCTGGAGTGCTGGCAATGCTTCTCACGCTGGAGAGGTCAATCCTAGGGCTTGGTTAGACTAAGTGCATTTAACTGGGGCAGTAGTTTTACACATATATTTCAGGAGGAGATGATTTTTATCATAAACACATTCCATTGATTCATGTGAAATCATTTAAAAAATTAAGGTCAAAGTTTTTCTCCTGGCTGCTTTAGGCTGCATGCACAGGACTTCTGTCCCTGTGGTGAGGGGATTTGGGTGGAAGAGCTCGAGTTCTGCTTTGGAATCCTCTCCTTTTTAAATAAAGAGGGACGCTCCAAGCCTGGCATGGAAAGGTACACCTCTCGGTGGAAACAGGTGGCCAGGCTTTGATCCCTTAAGGATTGGAATCTTATGAAATTGCCAACATTGAAACATGTTTGACTTGTGTAAATAGCTTCTTCCTCTGATTCAATCTAAATTGTAGACTCCAGGCCTCATAGCCGCCTCCACCATGTGGCCTCCAGGGGGCGCCGCTCTGCCTCCTAAATCCCCAAGGGCAAAGCCCACTTTCTTGGCTTCTGGAAGCACCGCGAGCGAAGTCATTGGTGGAATAAAGAAGACTGCTGTATTTAAAAAGGAAGTAAGCATAGAAAGAAACATGAATTCAATTAGAACAGTTCCTTATCCCCTAACATATGGTCCCCAGACCAGCAGCATCAGCACCCCCTGGGAGCTTGTATAATTCCTGGACAACAACCGAGAACTGCTGAACCAGATTCCACATCTTAGCAGGACTGCCCAGTCTCTCTTGTGTCTGTGCGCATAGGAGAGGCACCAGTCTAGCCAGCAAGAGTCCGCTTATTTGTCACCTGCCTTTCCAACCCCCGCAATCTGGGCCTTGCCTAACACTTCCCCTGGGGACACACTCTTAGACCCTCCATTCTTCAAAATCAACATAAGGTCTGGCCCCCGCAGGAACGTGTTCCTAAGGAGCCATCTCTTCTTTCAGAAGTGTATTCGTTATCTTTGCTGTGTAAATAAATGACCCTAAAACATAGAAGTTTAAAACAATAAACATTTATTTTTGCCATATGCTGTTGGTTAGAAGCAAGTCCCTAATCCTGTCCAGGCTTAAAGGGAAGGGAATCACACCAGGGCCAGAATACCAGGAAGCAGGGATCACTGGGGATCATATTCCAGGCGACCTACTGCAGGGAGTAGTCTCCAAACTAAGGGGCACGCCTCAACAGGGCAGCCACATCAGAAGACAAGAAAACAACCTCCAGAGTCAAATGGTAAGGATGACATGCATTCAGCAACAGGATGCTTGAATAAGCCTTTCAACTGTGGCTTGCAGAATGGCTACATTAGCATCACTTGGGAAACATTTAAAAAATACCAGTGCCCAGGCCCTACGCAAGACCAATTAGATCACAATCTTCAGGTGTAGGTTTTTTCTAATTTTTAAATTCCCCAGATAATTCTATTGCACAACTGAGGTTAAGAACTATGGCTTCAGGCCAGGTACAGTGGCTCACACCTTTAATCCCACCACTTTGGGAGGCCGAGGTGGGCGGATCACCTGAGGTCAGGAGTTTCAGACCAGCCTGGCCAACATGGTAAAACCCCATCTCTATTAAAAATGCCAAAAAGTTTAGCTGGGCCTGGTGGCACACCTGTAATCCCAGCTATTTAGGAAGCTGAGGCAAGAGAATCACTTGAACCCGTGAGGTGGAGCTTGCAGTGAGCTGAGATTGCACCACTGCACTCCAGCCTGGGCAACAGGACAAGACTCCGTCTCAAAAAAAAAAAAAAAAAAAAAAAAAAAACCCCAGAACTATGGCTTCATATGAAGATTTTCAAATGCTACAATACTCCAGTGAAGTAGTGATAAAGATCACTAGTGGAAAAGAAGATGTGAGGCTCAGCAGCTTGGACTTCTGCTGGGGAATCTGTGGATTGGAAAAGTGAGCCTTAAAGAGTGTTGGGACCATCTCAGAGGTGAGGCAATAAGGCTGACAAAAGATTTGTGACTTTTTATGATTGCCTACCTTAGCAAAAGTCCCATCAAGTCATGATGCTGGAAAATACATCAAAGAGTTAGGAATACAGAAAGGAAAGTAGGAAAGGTGGTGGGAGGAAGAAGGAAGGAAATAAAAGAAAACGGTATGAAGCCAGTCTGAAAAGGCTTCATGATGTGTGATTTCAACTACATGACATTCCGAAGAAGGCAAAGCTATCGAAGCAGTAAAAAGATCAGTTATTGCCAGGAGTTAGAGTGCAGGGAGGGGCAAACAGGTGGAGCACAGAGGATGTTTAGGGCAGTGAGACTACTCTGTATGATCCTGCAGTGGTGGATAATGTCATTATTCATTTGTTCAAGCCCATGGAATGTACACCACCAACAGTGAACCCTAACGTAAACTATGGACTTTGGATGATGATGATGTGTCAGTAGAGGGTCATTGATTATAACAAAGGCACCATTTGAGTGGGGACATTGCTAATGGGAGAGGCTGTGCATGCATGGGGCAGGGGGCATGTGACATATCTCTGTACCTTCCTCCTAATTTCGCTGTGAACCTAAAACTGTTCTTAAAAAATAGTCTTTTTTTTTTTTAAAGAGACAGGGTCTTGCTCTGTTGCCCAAGCTAGAGTTCAGTAGCACAATCATAGCTCACTGTGGTCTCAACCTCCCAGGTTCAAGCGATCCTCCTGCCTTTGCCTCCAGAGTAGCTAGGACTACAGGCACACACCACCATGCCTAGCTAATTTAAAATTTTTGTACAGACAGAGTCTCACTATGTTGCCCAGGCTGGTCTCAAACTCAAAATCTATCCTCGCACCTTGGCCTCCCAAAGTGCTGGGATTACAGGTATGAGCCACTATGCTTGGCCTTTATTTTTTTAAGTAAATTTTTTTTTAAAAAAAGAGACAAAAAGAAAAGAAACCTATCTATTGTTAAAACTTGTCCTCAACTCCAGCTGATGACTTCAAAGAAATGGAAACAGAAAATGAAGAAGACTCAACTAATAAAAGTGCCTCATCATCTTCTACTCTCCAGTCTGTAGAGACACAGAGGTTGAGAACTGGAGGGGCCTTGGAGGTCACCTCACCAATGCCTTTGTTTTGTGGTTGAGGAAATCGAGACATGAGGTCACTGGGAGGTAATGGCCTTGCTGGCATTAGAACTCACATCTTCAAACCTGAGCCCAGTGCTCTACTCGAACACTTTGCACATACAGAGCATCTCTGTCAACAGGGTATGCTGGACTCTTTCCTGCACACCAGCGTGTGAGAATGAGGCATATTGAAGAGTTAGTAAGGGAGATAACAGGCATCCTCTTACGGGAACACCATGGCCTTTCACATCAATGTTTCAATGAGGGCTGGTTCACAGGAGGCTGGTGGTACCTGACCAGTACTGCAGCAGTTCATCTACTCTGTCTCATGGGAACAAGTCAATAGGTTGATCGCAGTCGCTGAGTCTAACATGCTCCCAGCTTGAGCTGCACCCACTCTGTAAACAGCCCCTGACGGTAGCAGCTTTACCCACAACAATAAAACGGCTCCATCTTCAGGCAAGTCCAACCTTTACCTCTCCTCCCTACCCCTCGCCTGCCTGATTTTAGCCACTGTTCTCATTCCCAGGGACCGGGTTGCTCCCAACTCGTTGCCATGGCCACGGGCCTCACCCAAAGCATACCAACGCTGTAGTGCTCACAGATCTTGGCAGACGTCCAGGCAGATGCAGAGCAGTTGGGGTGAATAACGTTCTCCTCTGAAAGCTGCGCCAAGGCTGTTCGATTGCGCTCTCTCCGCTGTCGGCTTGAGTCTTATAGAGCTGTCCATTTGGCTGCCTGGCTGTGAATGAGCCATGGTTGTTAATTTCTTTCCCCTGCACCAGCTTCTTGGGAGCCTCTAACCCAAAACTTAAACAAAGAGCTAAATCAGGCTGTTCCCAGAGCTCGGGACCCTGGCTGTTTACCAAACACTGAAAATGTTACCAGTTGCCACCAGTCCCAAATCCCTAATCTCTCCTAAAAGTCGTGAGGAATGTTGTCCCAAGAGGTCCAGGCCTGGCCCATCTGTGATACTCTTGGGTGTCCGTTTCAACATCCCAGTCCTGTGAGTTGAAATATCTTTTCCAGAGAGAAAGAAATGAAAGACGGGGGCGGAGAGGGGGGTGAAGGAGCACATGGCAAGAGAATAGAGATGGAATCCCTTCAAAACCAAACAAAGGGGAGCCGTCCGTGTGCAGCGTGTTCATCCTTGGATGATTTATGTTGGCCCAGTGCTCAAGTTCATGGCAATTACAGAAAAGGAGGGAGTGTCAGAAGGAATCTTCCATGAATACCAATAGTACCAGCCAACATCTGTCCCTTGGAGTGGGCGATCTGCTCCAGCCTGTTCAGGATTCTACTTAGAATTCTCAAATGGGACAGTGTACACAGAAGCACTTTGTGGGTTAGAAAGCAGCGCATACTGGTAGAATGTTGTTTTCATCAGGCATTCCCTTCACTACTACACTGGCACTCATGAAGTGAGTAAGTCCCTCGGCCCCCCGCCCCAGGGTATGTGCCCACATTGCCATAGAACCTACCCGGTAGGGAGGGTGCTCACAGACCCTGTCCCACATGAGAAGGGATTGGGATGGGAGTGGGCAGGAGCCACTTCTGCTGATGAGAACACAGCAGTTCCAACCTCCCTGAAACTGGCCCCCGACCCCCCTCCCCAGTTGCATTTTTGCATTGATCTCCTGCTCAGAGATACTTCGCCCACAGTTGCCACATCTTTGCTATGGAGTTGCTTTAAAAAAGAATATAATATTTAGATTTAGCTGCCTAGAAGAGGAAGGTGTTTCATTCTTCTTTAAAGGTAGTCTGGAAAAAGACCACTTTTTAGTGGGGGAGAATATACTCTTCAATTAATAACATAAAAATGAAGCTGGGTGCAGTGGCTCACACCTGTAGTTCCAGCACTTTGGAAGGCTGAGGTGGGAAGACTGCTTGAGCCCAGGAGTTCAAGACCAGCCTAGGCATCATAAGGAGACCTCATCTCTAAAAAAAAAACAAAAAAACAAAACAAAAAAAACCTTAAAAAATTTTTAAAATAAATAAAACCATCACTACCGCTAACTTTTAACAACACACTCTAAGAGCAAGGGAAAAAAAATCCTGTGTACTAATGCTGAAAATGCACATTTTCCAGGGAATGGTAGCCGCCATATTCCCAGTATGAGACAGAACAATTGAACCAGATCCTACGTAGCTTGCCTCAAACCCCCCCGAACTTCCCTTCATGTTGTCTTTCCATAATTCCTTCCCCTCCCAGCACCCACATCAGTCTCATTTCTAATATTTACACCACCAGAAGCTGGGCAGAGCCCACCCAGGCAGAATTCTAAAATGTGATTAACAAATACAGCCTGAAATGGCTTCAGAAGTTGCTGACACTCTGTTGAGACACAGTGTCTTTTGAAAGACAAGGACAGTTGAAAACTTCTTGCACCACTGAAGGCTGGTGCCCTCGTGCACGTTAACAGTTTCTCCCTCCACCACAGTTTGCTATCTCTCCATCGCTGGCATTCAGACGGCCTCACCCATCTCCCCGAGGGACAGCTGCTCCCAGACCCGCCCTGCAGCTGAGCGGCAAGACCAGCAGAATTTTCCCCGTGAACAGGAGACAAGGGTAAAGCTGCATGTGTGTCAGTCATGAAAGCCCAAATCAGGAAACAGATTAGGACTCTAAGGGAGGTCTGCTGACCGAAGACGATCTCCCCAGGAGAACAGGCACCGAGGGCCCACTCCCCGCCCGGCCATTTTCCAAACAGATAAAGGGAAACTCACATTTCTTTTTTTTAAACTGAGTTTCAAGTCTTTGGAAAGCTCATATGCAATTGACAGCCGCTGATTTCTGGAGACATTAAAAAAAAAATTAAAAGCATATTAGGATGTGATGTGGGATAGCAGATTTGGAGTTCAAAGGGTGTCAGTTCAGATGTGGTGAACAGCCACTGGTGAGCGAGGTGCGTAACCCCGAGAGCCTTCAGCTCTGGAGCATGTGAGAGCTTCCCCTGCAGACTTGTTGGGAGGTTTACAGGAAAGAGGACCCATGACAGGCAAGGCAGCATCTGCTATGCAGGAGGCGCTCCACAAACCTGCTCTGAATGAGCCAATGTATTTTCCGTGTCTGTAACACGGTAGTCACTCAGCAAGTGTAGATTTTGTCCCTTTCTTTTCCCAGATGAGCAGTCCCCATAGAGTTGGTTTCTGTACTTCAACCTCTCAATCAAGCCCAAAACACAGTTTCTTAGAGGGACCAGGCCATCTCTGCAAGGTATGGAGGGGACATCTGCAAGGAGTTTCCATCCTGGCTCCTGTCACTAGCTAGGTGTGCAGCTCTGCACGCAGTCATCCAGTCCCTTTTCCCTCATTCCAAGCCTCATTTTCTCATAGTGAAAATGAAAGAGCTGGACTAGATTCATAGCTGTCAACAATGCTCTATCATCCAAGCCCTTTGTTTACAAGAAATCTGATACAGCCACACCATTAAATAAAATATCTCAAGAAAAGGGGCCAAGGCCTAGGCCTAAGTCAGCTCAGCTCTCCAGCCCACCTGCTTTTAGAGGTTGAACAGAAGGCACCCCCCGACCCCCACACAGGAGCCCCTAGGGTTCCTTGGAGCACAGTTAGAGAACCATAAGACCACGTTGTCTTTAAAGCTCCTTCCAGACCTGACCCTCCATGATTCCAGGTATGTACAGAGTAACTGCAGCGCATTATTGAACCCGACCAAATTAACTCAAGCCTGATGTGTAACACATATCAGAAGAATACAGCCAGGGTCTCTCTGTCCCCAGCTCCTCAGCCCTGCTGCCTGGGCAAAAGTCACTCAGCAGGAAGTCCTTTTTGACCGGTTTCAGCTCGAAACCCTACAGCATCAGGGACGAGGGGAAGTAATATACAAAAAAATACCTGCAATCTTATCCTGAAGAGAGTATCCCGTGAACATAAAGCAATTAAAGGAGACTATAGAAATAAGACCTGCAATAAATTGGTATGAACAATAGGTGTGGGAAGTGGGGAAAGGGCATCGGGCAGGAAACGCCTAATCCCAGGTTGGCATGACCTTGGGCAAGGTGCCAGTGTCTCAATGACCTTGATGGTAGGGCTGAAGCAGGTCACCTCTGTGAGAATGCTCTAACCACAAACTACTGTGACTCTAAGTATTGCATGGCCAGGCACGGTGGCTCATGCCTGTAATCCCAACACTTTGGGAAACTGAGGCAGGCAGATCACCTGAGGTCAGGAGTTCGAGACCAGCTTGGCCAACATGGTGAAACCCCTTCTCCACTGAAAATATAAAAATTAGCCAGGCACCATACTGTGTGCCTGTAATCCCAGCTACTCAGGAGGTTGAGGCAGGAAAATCGCTTGAACCCAGAAGGTAAAGCTTGTAGTGAGCCGAGTTCATGCCACTGCACTTCAGTCTGTGCAACAGAGTGAGACTCTGTCTCCAAAAAAAAAGAAAAGACTTGTAAGTACTTAAGAATGTTGATAATGATATTGTCAAATTGTCAGAATTGGCATTTTCCAGCTACTTATGTTTATTACTCCTAGATATTCCTCAACCGTGACATCAGCAACCATCTTAGACCATTGGCAGGGAGTGAGCTGACTACTCCCCAGGATCTCAGGTAAGGAAAAGATAATGGTTTTCCGTTTGTAAGGTCAGCGTGAACAATATCTCCCAGAGGCCTCTGTACTATGATTACAGCCACCTTGGCATAAATGAGCACTTATCAAATCCACGAGAGGCAAACAGACATCTGCAGGCTGGCAGAACTGCCTGCAAGGATTTGCTTGACACAGATCTCTGGCTGGGCTCATAGTATCAGAGGTCCCCGGGTTTATTAATTGTTTTTAACAATCATTTTTTTCACCACCTAAACAGAAAGAACCTTTAGCTGAAAGCAAGAGGAACTAACACAGAGAGGCAGTGAGACTCAAATGGCTCAATGAAGCCTGGGTGTGACTGGGCTAATGCTTTTTCAGGTCACAGGTCACTCTTACAAGGTAATCCATTTGCCTAAAGAGACAGTGCATGTAAACGCAGCATCTTGAAGGAAGGGAACTGTTGTGGCTACGTGATTGGGTGGAGTGGCATTTCCTCTGGAATCTGATTGAAGAGCCTGATTTCCAGCTTGGTCTCCTGGTCTTCTTTAGCTTTTGACTTCCAGAGTCTTATTAGAACCAGCTAGGTGGCCCCTAGAATTATGTATCCACCTTTGTCAAAAGCAGGCTACGGAGATGGAGCCTGGTAAGGAAAATAAAGGTAAAGTAGTATGGCCTTCACTCATTATGGACAAGATGTCCTCTGTGTACATCAGAAAGCTTTCACCTGCAAGTAACAGACACTCAGCTCAAACCACCTTTAAAAAGAAGGATATTCTAATCTCAGATAACAAGTTCAGCAAGTTCCAAGGAAATGAAAACCAGTGGTTCAGCGTTGTTATCATAAATGCCTTCCAGCTCTTGGCTCTACCATCCTCAGAGAATTGGTTTTGGCCTTAGGCAGCTCATCTCATGTTTCAAGACCCCTCAGCCCTCCTGGTTTCACATCCAGATCGGCAGAGTCCACTTCATGGTGGCCAACCTGTCACGCTGCACAGGGCCTTGTGCCTAGAAGGACCCACACTTGGCTTAGTGCTCTGCCATCACCGTCTTAACATTCTTAATCTTACCTGTGAACTTGTGTTTTATGAGTGAAGTCCTGTGGGACAGTAGAGATGCATGTGAGCAGAGGGGAGCTATGCAGTGCACATGTCCTCCTTCCCTGCTGTCCCACGCACAGGTCATGTTGGGGATCCCCATGAGCACAGAATTCCAAGGACCCACGATGCATGGGAATCAGCGAGACCCAAAGCCAGCACAGTAAGCGTGGTAAGCCCACGACCAAGTACGTGGCAGCACTGACAGCCCCAGAAGCCATGCTTTGTGTCCAAATTAGAACTTGCTCTGAACACAGAAAGAAAACAGTAGGACTCTAAGAAAACACAGGAGATCAAGCAACCCTACTCTATTCTTTTGAACACGTGTTACTTCTCCGTGTTAGACAACTACTTACACTGAAAATGATGACATAGGTTGGGTATGGTGGCTCATACTTGTAGTCCCAGCACTTTGGGAGGCCAAGGCGGCAGATCACCTAAGGTCAGGAGTTCAAGACCAGCCTGGCCAACGTGATGAAACCCGGTCTGCACCAAAAAATACAAAAGTTAGCTGGGGGTGGTGGTGCACGCCTGTAATCCCAGCCACTCAGGAGCTGAGGCAGGAGAATCACTTGAACTCAGGCAGGGGAGGTCACAGTGAGCCAAGATCACACCACTGCACTCCAACCTTGACAACAAGAGCAAAACTCTGTCTCAAAAAAAAAAAAAGAAAGAAAGAAAAGAAAATTATGACACAGAAGGAAAGACATAAGTGGTTAGCTGATACACCTTAGTGAACTATATCAGAAGAAAAATCAGCACAATTCCAGCCTGTAACTCCAAAAGCCTCAATTTCTTGCCTTGTTCCTGTCCCTTGATTTTTGTCCCCTCTTCTTTCATCAACAGAGCAGAAGGGCAACTGCCTCAAGCGTGTGCAGTCATTTATTGCCCTGGAAATGTACATCCAGAACAGAATATCATCTTCCTGGCAGCCGTCCCATTCAGCCTCTGCATGAAGACTCTGTTTCTTTTCCTAAGCTGTCCCAAGACCTGAGCCTTCTCAGTTTGGTGCATGCTTCACTATGGCATCAACTCTCCAACTTCTTCAATGTCCTCCAAGACCATAGTGATAAGAAAACAAAGATCACCCATCCCCAAGCTGGGAGGAGGACGACTTTTTTCTCTCTACAGCCTTTTATACGTTTAACTTGCTTACCATATAATATGGATAACCTATGAAAAAGATTTCACATGTATACATTTTTAAATCACTTACTCTACTTCTTTGTGAAGACAAAAATAAATTTTAAAAATGCCACAGACTTCTTCCTGCAAGTTAAAGAAAAAGATTCAGCTTCCTGCATAAGAAGAAATATCGTAAGTCACATGTGTAGCCCAAGCTATTTGGGAAATTGTGGTGGGAGGATCACTTGAGCCCAGGAGTTCGAGGCTGCAGTGAGCTATAATGGTACCGCTGCACTCCAATCTGGGCAACAGAGCAAGGCATCATCTCTTAAAAAAAAATTAAAATTAAAATAAATTTAAAGATTAAAAAATATATTTAAAAGAAATATCACAAGTGAACTATAATTCATCCCAAAAGAGAATATGGATGTTTTCAAAGAGCAACATCAAAATGTCCGAGGCTAGTCACCATTTCTTTCTTGAGAACATTCATAAGCCACTGCTCACCCCTGGACTCCATTTTAAAAACAGATGCCACAGAATTCCTCTCTGCTCAGCCCATTCTCACATCACCAGTCCCCAGGCACGGACCTCACCCCTGGCCAGCCTTCCGGCATGCCAGGCCTCCTCCTCCCCCAAGCCCATGCAGAAGAGGGAAGTGGGTCACACGGGGAGCCCGTGCTATGAGTGGACGTACCCTGCAGACGGAAGTGGAAGGCCAGAGGTGGAGTGGTTTCTTCTTCCTTATTCCTTTATATTCTGTTAAACTTTAGCAACTCTCGCAACTGACTCATGCATAGACTTGTTCTAGAAGAAACTCTGTTACAGGCAGCAAAACTCTGAAGGTGCTTTAGTTCTACCCCCGGAGGAGAGTGACAGTCCCACACACCCAACAAGGTAGCATTGGAACCAGAGCTAGAACCCAGAGCTTGTCCCCAGCCAAGTTCTCTTTCATCAGCAATATCTGATTTCCCAGAATCATCCATCATGGTGTGCTCTGGACCAATTTTTTGTCCAAAAACTAGACAAAAAGATAACTGTTCCATTTCTATTTCTACACTACAGCTCATACAATTGAAAGGAAGGATACTGCTGTGAGAACCATCCTCCATCACTAAAGCAAACTGGTTGAGTTCTTTTTATTCATTAAATAAGATTGGAAAGGGTCATTGTCTTGATTAGCATTTCTAAGCCTTGACATTGCTGATATTTTTGGTGGGATCACTCTTTGATGTGGGGACCATCCTGTGCACTGCAGGATGTGTAGCAGCATCCTGGCCTCCACTCACGAGGCACTGGTAGCATCTCCTCCCTTCCACTTGTGACAATCAAAAGTGTCTCCTTTCGAAATTGCCGATTGTCCCCTGAGGGGCAAGACGCCCTTGGTTAAGAATCACTGATCTATGGGAAACTCGATTATTTGGTTGTCATTGAAAATACTCATCAAGAAAAAGATTGTTCACACTAGGGCTTTATAGACAAATAAACTGGAAAACTGTGAATCCAAGGCATTTCTCCTCAACAGCCTGTGCCCAGAATAGCCTGAAAGGGGTCCTGGAGAGATAGGTGGGGGCCTCAGTAAACCCCTGAGGCATGGCAGTTCATGTGTATTATTGACCTTTCCAGGTGAAGGCAAAAGGATATTTGAGTCAGGGTTGAAAAGCATACTGATAAAAGCAGAACACGGCCGGGCACAGTGGCTTATGCCTGTAATCCCAGCACTTTGGGAGGCTGAGGCGGGTGGATCACCTGAGGTCAGGAGTTCGAGACCAGCCTGGCCAACATGGTGAAACCCCATCTCTACTGAAAACACACACCAAAAAAACTAGCCAGGCATGGTGGTGTGTGCCTGTAATCCCAGCTACTCAGGAGGCTGAGATAGGAAAGTCGCTTGAACCTGGGAGGTGGAGGTTGCAGTTAGCCAAGATCACACCACTGCACTCCAGCCTGGGCAACAGAGTGAGACTCCGTCTCAAAAAAAAAAAAAAAAAAAAAAACAGAACATAAGTTGATGACTATGAGATGAATAGTGTGGTGTGGAGAGAAGCCAGAATGGTGTTTGGGTCCTTAGAGAAAGCCTGGCTTTGTCTATTTGAATAGTTGCTTGCAAGCCTTGGACTAGCTGGTACCCATTGAGCCTCTTTACTGAGAGGATAGGAGTATCACAGGAATTAGACATGGAGACTAGGAGTGTTTTGTGAAGGACACCTTGAATTATAAGTTGAAGATCTTGGAGAATTCTTGTCTTTAGGATATTACAGTAATGTTGAGAGTGGCATGGAAGGTTCTATTTCTACTTTGAGAGGTTCAGCCTCCTTGATTTGGCCTGTGTCAGTGAAGTGACCGGCTCGAAGGCAGTTGGGTATTTTAGTTAGCATAGTTTGTACTTGAGGTTTTAAAGGGGGATCAGGGATTTTGACAGAGCAAGAAAAGTGTGATGGTCAATGAGAGCCATGAAAGGGCAAAGAAGCAAGGCTGGGACCCAAGGCTCTTAAGGGTGAGGCCTTCAAGGGAGCAAAACTACTGGCAGTCCAGTTGGAAAGTAACTGTCTTTCCAGAAGGTTTACTGAGTAGTGGAACTAAGAAGCTGTACTGGGTGGGGAGGGTTCTAATAAGACAGAATAAGGTTCTGATAAAAGCAGCACATGGATGCTCATCAAGTCCCACCACAGGCATGACTTGTGTGCTCTTAGGGAGAGTGGCAAGAGGCGTTCAGGGTGAGATGTGTTGCTCTGGGTCCATTAGGAAGGGAGTGGAGTGCCCATTGATGTGGAAGATGCTCTCCTCTTATGAGTTAGTGTGGACACAAAGGGGAACACCCCTCCAAGAAAGTCATTAAAAGATGAATTTTTAAGCTCTTGCTCTCTTTTGTGTTTTAAAACCAGGCAATCCCAAGCCGAGCATTGTTTTTATTTATATCTGCACGTGTGCCTAACAAGTTGGGGTTTGGAATGAGCAGATTGGCCTGGTTTGCTTCCTCCTGGTCAGTGAAGTTGTGCAGCCATCAGTTTGCACTGTGTTGATTTGGCCTCTTCTCTCATGGAGTCTTCAGGATGTTGGGCTAGTGTACACTTGCAGGGAGAGAAGCGTTCTGCCTACTTACGTTGTGTTTTGGGGTAATATCTCTGATTTCTGATCAGAAGCCATTAACGCAATAATAAAAGCAAAAGTGGCTCAGTCATCAAATATAAGATGAGATCATATATTTTGTTAAACTTTAGCAACTGTCTCAACTGACTCTATCAAAATGTCATCCTTTCTAACATTTTCTAATCTATGTCTATAGTGAGAGGCAAATTCATCTCTGTGTTGTCTGCCATCTTTTATCTTTGACCAGTTTTTGAGGAGAGACAGTGGGAATGGATTCTAAAGTCTCTCCCCTATAGTTTTGGCCTGCATCCGGGTGTTCTGATTTCTTTGAAAGTCCTCATGAAGAGTGACCCATCTGGCTTTTTCAAAACATAAAGTGGCATCTCTGGTACCCATTCACAGCTGCAAAAATTGATACGGTTCAGGGAACCAAGGAGAATATACCCCAAGGACCAGACCGAATGGATTACTAAACTCTTCCCTATTCTCACTGTCTGAAAAGCCCTTAACAATTGCATATGGACCTGAGTGAGTCCTTATTCAGTTGGGCCCTCGGGTCATGGGCCTTCCATCATACTGGGGAAGCACCAACAAATCGGGATGAGGTAGGGAAGTGGGAGCAGGGAATCTTGGGGAGCAGGGGCTAAAGGAGGAAAAAAGAAGTCCCTCAGACTAAGGAGGAATATTGGGTGGAGGGGGAAAGCCTCAGGGTAGGGCCCATAGAGGGGTGGGGGGAAGAAGTGTTGAGAGGTTTCATTAAGGGTGGAGAAGGAGTGGGAGGAGAGGTTGGTAGTAAGAGAGATGTGCTTAAGGGACTGCTCAGTTTGAAGTAGATTGGAGACATTTCCTCATATTTCAGCGTCCTCATACCAAGCAAAATAAGCTGACCTTTGAAGAGACGAGATCTTCAAGGAGGCTGTAGATGGACACGATTAGGGAGATTCCAGGTGCCTCAGAGGGGTCACTGCAGTTCCGACTTGTCCTCAGGGAAATCTTGCCATTTTGGGGGGATAATGAACTGAATTTTCATCACAGTGGAATACATATCATTGGAAGGGATTTTTAAAGGAGGCGGGGGAGAAGTGGATTGAGAATTTTCCATAGTATGAAGGTTAAACAGAAACCAACTACAAAACAAAGCCCGAAGAGCACTCAAGCAAATATCAAAATCAAATCCTTACCACGCTGCCAAGGACCGATATCCGGAGCACGGGACCAGGAGCTGGACTCACAGTGGGATCTCCGATCAGTCACAGAAGGAGCTTGACGAGCTCAAGGGGTCTCAATCCCTGGGTGGAGAAGACGGGGCTCCAGATGGGTTTCCAGTCTGTCCTGGCAGCTGGTTTTGTCTAGACTTTCATAGGGAGGGGTGAACCAGTTCCAAGTGTGGGTGATTTTACAGTTGGGATGTTCATGTCATCCGGAGGCATCTGTCAATCAGCTGGAATATCTAGCTCTGTTTCTAGCTTGTTTGGAGGAACAAATAGTTCAGCTAATCATTTAAGAAACAAAGAATGGTAATTTGGAGGGTCTCTGTGTGTCCTTATCACAGGAAACAAGGGGGTCACCCATGACTGTTACGGAAATCGCAAGAACAAGTATACAGTATTTATGAACGGACCTACTGGTCTGCTAGTAGAGCTGCCATAACAAAGTACTGCAGAGTGGAGGCTTAACCACAGAGATGCATCGTCTCACCATGCTGGAGGCTGGAAATCCCAGGTCAGCACATGGACAGGGCTGGTTTCTCCTCTGGCCTCTCTCCTCGGCCGTCTTCTCCCTGTTTCCCCACATGGTCTTTCCTCCACGTGTGTCTGTGTCCTCATCTCCTCTACTTATGAGGACACCTGTCACGCTGGATTAGGGCCCACCCTAGCGACTTCATTTTACCTTCAACACCTCTTTAAAGACCTCTCCAAATACGGTCACACTCTGAGTTACTGGGGGTTAGGACTCCAACATCTGCATTTTAGGAGGACACAACTCAGTCCGTGACAGTGGGTCTTCTCGAAGTCTCGTGGGAAAGAGTGATTCTTTGCAGTAAGTCACTTCCTGGAACACAAAAGGATGGGAGACATCTGACATACAAGTGTGGGCAATTGCCTTTGGCTGTCTTCCAGAAGCACAGGGCTCAGGTGCAGCCCTGCACTGTCACGGGGTCCCAAAAGAGGCCCCTTGGTTTGCTGTGCTCCACTCCAAGCTTCCATGAGCTGATGGGGGAGGGGTGGGAAAGAACTCGCAAGGGAACTGAGACCTACTGAAAAAAGGAAGGAGAAGTAAAGAAAATGTCTACGGGGCTGAGGGAGACAGGGGAAATGTGGTTTGAGGTTGACAAAGGGGAGGGAGAATGAGAGAGCCACACAGCAGGAGGCTTGGCTGTAGGAGAGAGAGATTCTGAACCGTCTCCAGGAGGCACAGAATGTGAGAGACAGGTGAGTGAGGGAAGATTTCCCCAGAAATCTTCGCCCTGTTAATCCACGCAGGCTCAGCCCCACAGGAGTTGTTTGGTGAGCACACATATTACTGTTCAAGACTGGAATCTGATTCATGCACCTCTGTGTTCAGCCTCTGCGAAGAAAGGCCTGGGAGCAGGGTGCATGGAAGGGCCTGCTTCATTCTGGGTGCCCAGCCTCCAGCAGGTTACCCCTCCTGCCAGATGCATGGGCAGGCAGCTTGCCTCCTTCCTGGACTGTGAGGTCCCTGATGACAAAATGAATGCAGCTAGTTGGAATTCTGCTTACTCAACCTCTATTGAGTGAATGAGCAGTGAACGACCTGTTGCCGCCTTACTATTCCCTCTGCACACAGCAGAGGCTTGGATGGAAGGAATTCCTGGGTCCCCCTGAAAATGTTCAGGCACTAGCACGTATGAATCAATCTAGACCTTTTTTTGCATCCGATTATGTTTTCAACTTGCATCACCTCTTGGGGGCACTGAAGTCATAATTCTTCCATTCCCCATGTGTCCTAACCAGGCAGGAGCTGCATGGCTGTCTAAACCCTTGTGGGTTTGTGATAAATGGGCGAGTGTTGAAAGAGAAAGGCAAACAAACTGCTTTCCCAAAGAAGTCGGGAGACGCCCTCGACAAGCCCTGGACAGAGCAGAGAATGGGCTCCGCCAGGAGCTGGGGAGAGCCTCGGGGAGGCTGCTATGTCCAGGACTTCAGCCTTACTGCACCTACCCTACCAGTCTGTGCCCTGAGGACCTGAACTTAGCCCTGTGTGTGGATATCTGCTGCAGAATGTGCTAAGTGCCCAGAAGAGAGGCCGGGGAGACAAAGGCAGCAGGGCAGGATGGCAGAGGGGACACCTCCGCCATCCAACCTCCTCTTGCCGTCTGGCGCTTACGCATCTGGGTGCCACACACTTCCTGTGCTGCCCAAACCAGCGCCAGCCCAGTGCTAGAGGGAAGTAAGAGAACATGCACAGCAGAGGCCTGGAAGTGGCCAGGGAAGGAGGAGAGGCCAAACGCAGCGCCTGAGTACTTTCTTTTTGGGAGGTGCTACGAGGCATGCAAAAGCAAACAGTAATGGCTCTCAGTAACTTCAGCAAGTGCCAGCGCTCAGCAGCCGCCCTTCCAAAGAGGGGTCGCTGGCAGCTGCAGCATCAGGCGGAGTGGCTGCATAGGACGCTTTTTCTAGTGCTGTTTGGCTTCACGGTTCTCCAACACAGATGAGCTGGGGGGTGGATGGTTTTTAGATCCATTTGTGTACCGTGAAAGCACATGGCCTGTCTTCCCAAGAGTTTCTGCATTTCCAGCTTTTTAATCCACAATAGAAAAGAGTGTAGAAAAACTAATTGCAGTTAGAGCAGGTTTTCCTTGTGCCAGTGTCCTCATATCCTCCCCCTGAAAATGACTCCCCAAGGAACCTGCTCTCCAGCAGAATGTGGTATTGTCTCTTAAAATAAGAACAAAAGCAGCAGAGCCAGAGATGGAGCAGAAAAAGCGAGATGTGACATTCCTCCTACATTTACTTCCTCAGGTCCTTTTCCAGGAGTAAATGGCCATCGTGCGCCCATGGGAAGAGCGCTGCATCCACGGAGGACCTGGGCCAACAGTGCTCTGAAATGGGTTTCATGAAAGCATCTGTGACTCATCCCTGTCCAAAAATGTTTTCATTAAGATTCAGCAGAAGCGATGTGCCAGGTCAGCAAATACAACTGCAAAACTGGGGCCTGCCAGCCTGGCCAACACAGCAAGACCCCGTCTCTGCTAAAAATTAAAACTAAAATTAATTAGCTGGGTATGGTGGCTGTAGTCTCAGTTACTCAGGAGGCTAAGGTGGGAGGGTCACTTGAGTCCAGGAGGCCGGGGCTACAGTGAGCCGTGATTGCACCACTGCACTCCAGCCTGACGCCGTCTCAAAAACAAAACAAAAAAACCTGGGGCCTGAATGCAAAGTGAAACACTTGCTCCTGTTAATCGTAGCACTTGCATTACAGGCCAGGTGGCTCCTAGCATCCGTCCGCAGCACAAGGCCATGTTGTGTAGCAGCACATCCCTAGTCCAGCCGCAGGGAGCTGCCTGCAAGGGGAAGTGGTGAGCAAACAGCTGCACAGCAGCAGGGAAGCTCCATCTGCCTCTCGCTTCACGGCCCTCCCCAGCTGCTGCAGAGATGCTGGGGGTCCCTTCCACACGCAGGCCTATGTTCTAGCTAATGAGAGCCAGGAGACTGGCAAGATTAAGCAGAGGCCTCATGAGTGATCTGGCAAACCCCACTGCACTTCAAAACAGATCCCTAGATTCTGGGCTTCACCTCATTTAAAAAGGACATTGTGTATACTGTTCCAAGTACATAAAATAATGAGGAGATGAGAAAGAGGAAAGAAAAATAGTTTTCAAAAGCTATCCTTTAACTCCCTCAGAAGCACAGCTCTCAGTGTCTACAAAGGGCTTAATCTGTGCTTGGTCGGTGGACAGAGTAGTCCATGTGCTTGGCCCAGTGTCCTACTCTGTGAACATTCTAACTGCATGAGCACACTGGGCAGCTGCCTGGGACCGGGGGCTGACACTGTAGCCATGACCTTGTGGCTAGTCCCTCCGTGTGACCAAGCTGAAAGGCATTAAGTGGATTAAGCGGCTCCAAGTAACACGGAAGGCACTCTTCCTCTTTTGCAGAACAAGGCTCTCATTTTCAGCTTTAAGCCACTTTATTTCCACTTCTAAGAGTCAGGACCGTTGTTCTGGATCTCAGTGAGACAGCACCCAGCACACCCAGTGGAGTCAGAGAACTCTCAGTCTCTTGCTGATAGCCTGAAAAAAATAGGGACCATGGAGGAAGGAAGGCCAGGCTGCACCCATGGGTCAGAGGACTGGGAATTCCCAGGCGTCACTTGGCCTTTGACATCTGTTCATCTTTAGAGGCCAGGATGCCAGCAGTCGGCCCCTGATGACACAGACAGGGCTAGGGTAGGAGCCATGCATTAGAGCCAGAGGGCTTCTCCTGAACCTTATTCTCCAACAGCCGCAACTCTGTCCTTAACACATGCTGATGACAAAATGAATGCAGGTAGTTTGAATTCTGCTTACTCAACCTCTGTTGAGTGAATGAGCAGTGAAACGCCTAAGGGGGGCAAAACTGAGCAGTAGTCCCAGATAAAACACACATGGAGTGACTATGCGGTGGCCCATGCTTTGCCAACCAGCAAGCATAACCACTTTATGCCACGAGTATGGAGTCTGTTTGGGATGGGCTGAAGGCTTCCGGGTCCTTCAGAAATGTGCAAAGGACCCCTCTCTCCATGGTGAGGGGACAGGCTCCAGGAGATCCCAAAGGTCACAGAGTCCAGAAGTGAGGTCTAAAATTCCCCTGGGGCGCAAGACACAGAGAAAATAAATGTATTCTAGGGACCCCCAAGACCAGGCCCATGGCGGGGGTGGAAGGCTTCCAGGGAGCTATCACAGTGCAGCACTTCCATCCTGGAGTCAAACCGTCCACAAACAAATGCAAGAATGCAGAAGGGGGCTGGAGGCGAGAGCAGCAAAGAGGCAGGCCAAGGGTCAGGGAAGGGCAACTGTGAAATAACGAGGTGATTTATACAATTTACTGTATATTTCAAGGTAGCTAGAAGAGAAGAATTGCAATGTTCTCAACACAAAGAAAAAATAAATGTTTGAGATGATGGATATGCCAATTACGCTGCTTTGATCATTGCATATTGTATAGAGGCATCAAAATACCATATATACCTCCAAAATATATACAACTGTTACATATCAATAAAAACTTTAAAATAGAACTTTAAAAACTAACCTCGTGATTTAACACTGGAGTGAAGAAAAAAGACTAGTTTATATCTGTTCTGTAAGATTCATTCATTCATTCAATCACTCATTCTGCGAGTTTCTACAAAAATTTCAAGTTCCAAATCTACATACCTACTGTGGAGGAAAAGGGCTCCTCGGGACCCAAGGAAACACAGTCGGTCATTGTATTCTAAGCTGTGACTTCTAGTCACGGCAACGTACTTTTCATTGACTGATGAGAATAAACATTCAAATGGACATTCAGAAAACTGTTTCTGCCGGGTGCAGTGACTCACGCCTGTAATCCCAGCACTTTGGGAGGCCAAGGAGGGCGGATCATTTGAGGTCAGGAGTTTGAGACCAGCCTGACCAACATGATCAAACCCCATCTCTACTAAAATACAAAAAATTAGCTGGGCACGGTGGCGGCAGGCATCTGTAATCGCAGCTACTTGGAAGGCTGAGGCGGGAGAATCACTTGAACCCAGGAGGCAGAGGTTGCAGTGAGCCAAGATCGCGCCACTGCACTCCAGCCTGGGAGACAGAGCAAAACTTCCTCTCAAAAAATATTAAAATTTAAATTTAAATTTAAAAAACTGTTCCTGGTCCTCTTGTTGTTGGGTAAGAAACCCAATCTCATCGGAAGATGCTCCTCTTCTGACCTCCATGCTTCGAAGGTCCCCCTTCAGAGCTGGCCCAGTGTCAGCCGTGGAATTCTTGCTGGGTTCAGCATTTCCTTTGTCTCTCGGGCCAGTCTTCAGGTTCTGACAAGTGGGTGAATTTTCCCTAAATTTTCATGTAACAC